GGTGGGTTGTGCGGTGTGTATGAAGTTTGCGATGCGTAATTGTGTGTGAGATGTATTTGGTTTTCATGGTTAGGTTTGATCCTTGCTGTAGCAGAGAATACTTGCCGTGCAAGCCTTTTCAATATGGTGGGCTACGCCTTTGTTTGCAATGGTTTCCTTTGTTTTGTACCCTCTTTGTGGCATCCTTACATTCCCGCTCTTTTCCGTTTGTTTTTCGTCTATTTCAAAGCAAAATGCCATTAAACAAGTTCATATAGCTTTTGCATCCGGAAATCAAACTGTGGTTGCATGACTTTTGTTTTTCACATGTGGTTTTTGAAGTGTTGGCTTTCTGAGAACCACTGCTTTTACCGTTTTGGCTATTGCTTTTTCGTCCCCCCAAATGTTTGTTAGTGTGTTTTGCATATCATTATGACCTAAGAATGATGTTTGGTTACGGGTTGTGATGAGGAATTGGCTTTGTGTTTGAATTTGGGGCCTGTTTGGTGAGTGTGACTCTACAGCAAAATCGTATCTACTGCTGTAACTTGGGTTTAAGTTTTTTAAGCATATATAGGGGGGGTATGGTCCGTGAAGGTTTTTTCAGGTGGTTTTAAAAGGCTTGGTTTTTTCCCTTGCTAGGCCCTGCGTTAGCTCACTCTCTCCCTAGGCGCCTCGTTCGGCTAGTGTCCTACCCACTAGCATCAAGAATGGACGCCAGAGCTAACGCAGTTCGAGTTGGCGGTGGGAATCGGTGTTGGGCATCGGTCTGTTGGCCCTTGAAATGCTGGTTGTTGGGATGCCGGCATTTCAAGCGAGGACGATTGGTATGTCCTTGTGGGGCTGACTCTCCGAGGTTGGATTTCGGTTTGCCTAGTTTCCTTAATTTGGCTCGGTGGGCCGATGTTAGGTGTGTCGGCCCCGCATTAGCTCCTTCCCTTCCGGCGTTTGGTTCTTCCATTACACCCACCTAGGTGGAAGGACCAGGCGTCGGGGACTAATGCAGTCGGTTTTATGGTGGCTCTAAGTGGGTGGGACGGTTGGCTACGGTTTTGTTGGCCTTTGAAATGCCGGTTGTTGGGATGCCGGCATTTCGAACGGGGATGGTTGGCCATTTCGTCCTCGCTGAGTCAACTCTCGGATGGTTGGATTTCGGTTTGCCAAGTTTCCTTAATTTGGCTCGGTGTGCCGATGTTAGGTGTGTCGGCCCTGCATTAGCTCCTTCCCTTCCGGCGTTTGGTTCTTCCATTACACCCACCCAGGTGGAAGGACCAGGCGTCGGGGGCTAATGCAGTCCGTTTTATGGTGGCTCTAAGTGGGTGGGACGGTTGGCTACGGTTTTGTTGGCCTTTGAAATGCCGGTTGTTGGGATGCCGGCATTTCGAACGGGGATGGTTGGCTATTTCGTCCTTGCTGAGTTAACCCTCGGATGGTTGAAGGTTTGAGCACTCTAATTTCTTCAAAGTAACAGCACTGGAGGAATGACCCGACCAATTAAGACCAGGAGCACATCACCAGCAATAGAGACAAGTTCAAAGATGCCACAGCAGTGTTTATAGCCTTGTTTCTCCTTGTTTTGTTGGAGGTTTGACCACTAGAGGTAGTGGGATTATCACCCTCAACAACGTGCTTACCTTTCCCCATCGTGCGCTTGGACGTTTTGCCAACAAAATCCCCGTTTTTTCTGAGACGAAGGGCCCGGAGAACCCTACAATCTAGAAGGTTGTGCCCAAATTTCTTGCAATGAAAACAATATTTTGGGAGGCCCTCATACACAACCTTCTGGATGTAAGTGCCCCCATCTGGTAGGCTAACCTCAAAGGAGGTAGGTAGCTCTTTAGACATGTCCACCTGGATCGACATCCTGCAGAAACTAATCCTCCCCCGTCTCTTTGTAGTCCGCTTGGGGGTTCCCACTCTCGACCCCAAACATTGAAGTGCAATTTTATTCCAACATCACAATGGGACGTTAACAAACTTAACCCACACATCAACCGTCATGAAGGCATCAAAGTTGAAGCGAAAGTCCTCTGGAAGAATGCGAAGTAATAGAGTCTTACCAAAGAGCTGGTAAGGCCCATTTTGGAGAACAATCCTTCGGTCTTCATCACTAAGGAACTGGAAAAGGACCCAGCCCCGTTCGTGAGGGAGGAGCTTACATTGTACGCCCCATGAGGTAATGAGATCCTCTATGGCTTTGATGCCCGGGAACCGGCCCGTGAAGCAGCCCACTAAGCAATGCCCCCAGTCTTCCTCAAGAGAAGGATATCCCTCAATCGGGATGATGACCTTCTCCCCAACCTCAACTTTTTCCAAAGGAATACCTTCGTCAGGATCCCGGTTAGCTGAAGTGGATGGTGAAGTAGGCATGGGGCTGTTGGTTTTACTTTCAAGTCCAAAAGCCGTTGCAAAATCCTGTTTTCCCCCAATAGGCGTAGGTGACAAAGCGTTTTCCTCACCGGAGAAGGTGTCGACTGAGTTTAGCGTGACACTAACATCAGCCGAAGAGGAGGAGGCCTGGCCAGCATCATTACATTGGTGTGGTTTACCACTGCTCTGACCGGCAGCCCCCCGCTGCTTTGCCTCACTAACCGGCGTTCCATCAAAGACAAAGTTTGTAATGTTATGGCTGTTTTTCCTAGTTCCCTTCTTCATCTTGTTCTTCTTACTATGACCC